GACTACATGCCTCTGTCTCCAGAGGCATGTAGATTAGGCTACCAGGCATAGCTCCTTACCATGTATGACAGGATCTTGGACTCTTTGACTAGCACTGGCAACTTCTCATCTGTCAGCTCCAGGGGGCTGCTGAGCTGCACAGAGGCCTCAGGGGAAACTGTCCGATGTGGTCCTCCATGCCAGGCATTTTCTAGAGTCTGTTCCTTTACCTGCTCTGCAGAGTATGGCAGGAGGCATGAGGAGAAGCTGGTGACGAATACCTTGTGTCCCGATGCCTTCAGGCTGGACACACTCAATGCTGTCAGCACATAGCCATGGCCCAACTGGAGCATGTGGTGCCAAGCTAGCTGGGGAGGCTTCTGAAGCAGAGAAAGTCAACATCAGCATCCACTGCACTAGAGAAGAACTTTCCCAGCAGCCAGTCTGTCCTTAGGAATGCAGTACAACATCTTTTTCACCCTTGGGACTGTACCATACTCTACCCCAAGCCCTTGCATCCTGCTGGGACAATGGAACTGTGTATCACCTGAATTGTGGCTGTATTTCTGCAGGCTACAATGATCCTTTTATGCAGTTTACCTAATGCTATGGGACCCTTTGGATTGGAAGGTTCAAGAGATAGAAGATCATTATGAGTAATTAAGAGATAAATAAGACTCAAGATGGGAAAAGGCTAACCTCATGACAAGCACGTAGGCAGCATCAGCACAGAGATACAGATGGCAAATTGTGGGCAAAGCCTCAAGGACTCACCTGCACCAGTACTGGGACACAGGAGACTGAGGAGAAGCACTTCAGAAAGAGGAAAAAGAACGTCTTGTGGTGGATGCACAGGAGGGTGCTGAGTCTGGCCAGCTCACCTGCCACATTCAGCTTTATTCTTTTCTTATATTCACCCCTATGGGAAGTTGGGAACAGGGAAGTGAAGTGAGTAGGCAATATGGAAGCAAAACTCACAACTAGGCCAACAACAAAGCCAAGGCACACGTGGTGAAACATATTACTTATGGAAGGAAAAGGTCCCAAAGGAATAACACAGACTCTCCCCCTTTACAGGGACAGGCTATGAGATCTTCAAAGACAGCAAGTCACACAGCTTTGTGATGAGTCTTGGGATACCCAGACTGAGAGTCACTTTGTTCCCTCCAGGCTCTAGCAAGAGGTAGCCTTGCTTGTGGATGCAGGGTGTTAGCTTCCTCCCACCTCCAGCCTTTTATCCACTTAAGCACTTTCCTTCAGGCTATGCCAGCTCTGTCTTCACCTTGCTGGTTAACAACAGGTGCATCCCAGTCTCCAAGTCCCTTTGAAGAATTACCCTGCTAAGTCCTATCCCCCCCATATCCATACCTCCCCCCACTGAGTCCTGACCACTTTAACCTGGACCTGCCCCCTCAATGAGCACCCATGCATTCAAATCTTCATCCTACCCTCCCCAGAACTCAACTGAGCTGTCCTTGCCCAGACTGTCCCCCTATAGAACCCTCTCACCCCACACCTGGATACCATCACACTAAGACCCTCCACATTTGGATCGTACCAGGCTGAGCTTGCCTGCTCACACATGGTGCACTTGGCACGGAAAGGCAGGGTCAGGGGCTGTTTCTGGGGCAGGTCCAACCCTTGCTCTGTCAGGGTTGGATGCAATCTCATTTCTGAGTTTGTGTCTGAGGGGAGTGGAGAGGAGAGGAACTACAGGATTATTTCCCACCTCTGTGCAGCCAAAGGCCTATTCATCCCACTGCCATTCTAGCGCCTCCACGTTTATCTGCTCACAAACAACAAGCACAGAGTTTTGCAGAATTTTAAAAGTGCACCAGCTTTTTTGGTGCAGAATTCCCTCCAGAATAATGATAGTGAAGGATTGTTACAGCTGTACATAAATTGTTTTTACTTTTTTTCTTTAAAAAGTAACCTAGGAATTGTATGTAAAAACTGTTGAGTGTTCTTGAAGTTGCAAAATAAAACACTCAAAGTTAGAAGATCCCAGATTTACAGTTCATGCAACCATAATTCTGCTTTCATATGCATTATAAGATGTATAAATTACATAATTATCTATAAATTTCCACACAACTGCTGCCTCATTCAGTATACAAGATGGATGCTCAAAGGGGCTGAATTAAAACTGTGCGGGTAACTTAAAATCTAGCATTTCTTGACTTTCAAGTGCTTGACTTTGCAACTGAAATAATTACTTTAACACAGTTTTTATATGTAATACACTTTGAATGTTACATTTTATGTTCTGATAGAACAAAAGAAAAATTCCAGAGTCAGCACCAGAAGGATTACAGTGGAATTCTGGGTAAGATGTTATTCAGCTATTGCTGTGTAACTTCATAAGAAAAAAAGGCTCAGAATACATACTAGAGGATTGGTCGAAACTTTTTAAATGTCATATATGTTAACATCTTTATTGTTAGAAGATTAAAAGAGTCTAGATTTATGATAAAACACATTTCTGCGACTTCAAAAGTTGACTTGATCCAAGAAATTTGGCATTGTGGAAGAAAATAAATCCTCACTCTGCATTTGTAAGCAACAAGTCAGAGGCAGTTTATTTCGAGCAATTGCAAGGGAAGACTGAGGTTGGATGGGGAGGAGGGTGCCCCCCCTTCCTTAAATAGATCTTCAAAGTACAAGCAGTAAAAGGCAAGTATATATATACACCTTCCCTTTACATACATCAACGGCTAACTGTTATCTCCCTGCCCACACAATTCCCTTCAGATGCCACCTTATCTCAAGGTTCATGCTGGAGTCAGCATTCCATCCTCATCTTTAGAGCGAAGAGTCTCTTACAATTCTCACTCTCACATTGTTAGGCCTCAAGGTTAGCCTGTCTCTTGCTCTATTTCTATCAACCCTAAGATGGCTGCACACAAATCCCTTTTTTCCCCTTTCCCTGCTTCCACAGCATGTACTCACATAGGAATTTTACAACAGGGAACAGCTATAAAGAAGAAGAAGAATCTGGCAAGATGATCTGGTACCAGTGACCACCAGATTAACATAAAACTAATATAAGAACAGATAAACTTTTAACTGTGTAGATATTAGGTTTATGATTGGAAATTTTGAAAATGGCAGAGATAAATAACACTTTATTTAGATACCTAAATAGGACAGAATGTGGATATATCAGCTTGAACCTGGATAAAAGAAAGGATGATCTTACATTTAAAACTCTGGATAGAGACTCAGGAGTAGGGATGTAAAAGAGTAGTTGAATTGTCGACTACTTGATAAGCCTAGGCTGATCAGGTAGTCAAGTTGACTACTCGCATCCCCCTGCCCTTGCTGCCTCTATATCAGAGGGGAAGCAGGAGCCAGGGCAGGGAGGGAGTGTGTGTGTGTGTGTGGGGGGGGGGAGATGGCTTAAAAGCTGGTCCCCCCAGCACCATCTCCACAGGGGTGGGTGTATGTGTATGGGGGGGGAAGAGACAGGGGAGACAGAGGCGTAGCAGCTCTGCCTTTTAAATGTAGTAAAAGCAGGCTGAGTCCCACACTGCGCCTCTACCTTTTAAATGTAGTAAGAGCCAGCCAGCTCTTACTACATTTAAAAAGCAGAGCCACAGCAGGGTTAGCGCCTGAGGACGGCGCAAGCTGAGACTGTTTAGCTAACCCTGCTGTGGCTCTGTAGTTTAAATGTAGTAGGGGCCGGGCTGCAATGCCCTCCCCCTTATTGACTACTTGAGTAGTCAATGGAAATTCCATCAACTACTCAATTAGCTGCTTATTCGCAATTTAACATCCCTATTCAGGACATCTGAGTTCAGTTCCCTATCCTGCCACAGACTTATCAGGGGATCTTGGCTAAGTCACTGAATCTCCCTATTCCTCACAAATTCCCCATCTGAAAAGTGGGATATGAATTTACTACTTCATTTGTCTAACCTTCACCTAACTTGTCTATATAGATAGATACATAGATAGATAACAATCAGAGCTCTGATTGTCTTCTACTAAATGTATATAGATTGCTTAACATACTGGGACTTCAAATCTTGTTTGGTGCCACCAAAAAGAGGTGTCACTGTTGCTTGATTCACTAATATTTTAAACTTCAAAGGCAGGAACAAAATCTGCAAAAAACATCACTTGGGGATAAAAAGAAAAGTTGGGGATTCTAATGGCTGGCCACCATCATGCTGCATCCCCAACCTGGGAGGAGGAAACTAATGATCCAACCTGATCAAATTCAGTGATGAATCCTGGTCATCCACCACCTAAGGCATGTTGCACATATAATGAAAGAAATACAAGAAATCTAAAGATCCAGGATCAGACAAACCCTGAAAAACTTGCTAAAGTTAGGTGTTACAATCTTTTCTGAAGCCAGAGGAGAAAGGATTGACAACTGCCTACCAACTACAGTACCACCATTAACCAAAGTCCATGGTGAACATGTTCTCATCTCAGGAAAAACCCAACAAGTTGCTGGAAAATTTAATGTGTATTGTTGTTGTATATCAAAGACTCTTTTTATGTATATGTTTTTATTCAAATGACAAATGCTCTTGTTAAGCCAACTTCTCAAGAGTACTAGCTTATAAAACTTGTATATTACTTAAATAGACAATTTGTCTTAGTCACTTCTGATAAATTGCAACTTCACTGCTTAGTCATATACTGATTTTAAGATGTTTCTAAAGTGCCTAAGATACACTGGTATGTTCATTACACAAAGATCTGAGAGCCTGCTCAGTTACAGAAATGAAACCTATTAATGACTTTCTGATCTCTATTTACATAGCTTGCATAAGGTAAGCTAAGATTCACAGAGCCTACAGCTTTCTCTACTATACCAGAAAGAAAGTAGATCTTGTTGAATGACAGATCTTTTAGCTAAAAAGATTACCACTGTTAATAAAAATGTTTGAAATAGCCTGATACAGAATATTTTAACTGAGGTTAAAATTTCAAGTGGCTTTTGATTAATTCTGCATATTTGGTGTAATTAACATATTTGTTTGTGAATTTTTTTCTTTCACATAAACACACTTTACTTATCTAGGATATAATTTGAAATTATAAACCTGACTTTGTGTTTACTATAGTTTTTGTTTATTTTCCAAGTTTATAAACTTTAAAAATTGTTTGGGTTTAGATGAAAGACATTCTGATTTGCATAAATGAACCTTTATTTAAATTAGCACTCTAATAATGTTCTGAATTGTAATATATACTTGTTCAATATTTAAATCTAGAATTACCTATCCAAAACTTGTGACTTTAATTACTGTGGCTCACTACGCCAGAAGAGCTATCTGTTTGTGTTAAGTTTGCAATTTTAAATGAGCTGTTGCTTAAAATTAAATGCATTATTTTGCCATCTTCCTATCTTTTCTATTATTTCCTAACTTCTATTTGGGTTAATAAAAAGCTATGGCGTCACAAAAGTTTGACTCTGTATGTTACTCAAGTTAAGCAATTCCAGCAAATTTTTGGAATATACATTATTCATTGATTTAAATTATTGAATATACACGTTTTCTATTATATCCACTTGTTCTCACATGCCTTCAGTGTGAATCTAACCCAATCAACATATCCCTGAACAGGCTAGGTTCTTGCTGTGATGCAGAGGGAACTTGTGACAAAAAGGCAGTAGCAACAGCTGCACAGACTGAATTAAGAAGAGTGAGTGTTTACCTGGTACTCAGCAACTGTGCAGCTGTTGCTGGGTAGAAGACAGGGATGGTGTTCACCACTCTCTCTGGTCGAATATCCACTGGCACAGGATCTGCCAGGATTTCCACATATCCAGCTGAGCTCTGACTTGTATGTGGTATGTATGCCCAGCTGGGGAAGAGAAACAGTAACTCCAGCCACTCAAAGTCAAAATGCAGAAGCTAAACCAAAAAAAGAAAGAAAATGGTACCTCAATTCGAGATATAGTTACAATATAACTCCAGAACTAAGACATTTATAGCATTATCCCAACATTCCCATCACACAGCACAAATTCTCACCACTCATTTTAGAGCAGGGATCTGTTCTCAGTAAGATGAACATTTTGTTGCTCCCCAAACAGTGGCAAGTGACTGAGCTGTGAATAAACTCCCCCCTCTTTGCTCCAGGAGAGAACCCCAAACTACATGTTGCTTAAGTTTCCTGTAAGCTGTGCCACACAGCTACACAGCAATCTATTAAGCATCACGCAGGCAGTCAGAGCCCACCTCACCCAGACCTGCCACAGCTGGGATACAGGCACCCTTCCCCAGCCCAAAACTGCCACTGTTGGTTCAAAGATGCCGTGGTGGGGAAAGGCACCTCTCCTTGTCATAGTCCTGGGGCATCCTGCACCCCAATCCCCCCCCTCACCACCATCCACTCCAACTCCAAAGTTCATACTCCCAGCCAGAGCCCTCCTCCCTCCCCTCCCATCTCTCTGCCCCAGTCCTGAACCCCTCATCCCTGGCCTCACGCTCCTAGCCAGTGCCACCAGCCTCTAACCCCAATCCTCTTTTGCAGCGCTGAGCCCTCCCCCATCCCAAACCCCTCTGGCCCACCTTCACCACATGAATTTTGTTAATGAAAACTGATGAAATGTCACACATCACCTCCAAACTGGTGCACATAACAAAACTTACTCTGCATGTGTGGGGAAAAATTAGAAGGAACACTTTAAATAACCTTGAAAACACCTATGCTATTTTACTCCTGAGGAAATTTTGTACCAAAAGAAAAAAAAATGCAAAATTCTGCATACTTTGTCAAAATAACAATATAATCATACCATTTTCAATTATTTTGTCACAATTATTTTGAAATAAATTACCAGTCATTGAAAATGGTGTGACTATATTGTATTATTTCAACTAAAATATGCAGAATTTTTTGACACAGAATTCCCTCAAGAATACCAGGGTACTGTGTAGCTTAATCTGGGTGCAGGCAGCTCGATAGGGGAAGGGAAAAAGGGGCCTGGGGGTACACATGATCTTGTTGTGGGGTTCTGGGTGCATGGGAAATCGGCTCCCTTGTAGAACCCTAGAGTGAAGGTTAGTGCTTAGTGGGAGGAGTAGGGGTGTGGGAGATTCAGTAGGGTGGGGAGGAGAGGGGGGGAGGTTGTCCTGGCATTTGAGGTGTGGGGTCAGGGAGCATCTGGGTGGGGGTCCAGGTGTGAAGGGCTCCTGATGAAGAGGTGAGGCTCTGAGGGGTGGGAGTCTGCATGCAGGAGGGCTCAGTGATGGAATTCTGGGTGTGGGGAGATCTGAGTGCAGGGAGCTCCTGACGCAGGGGGATGAAGCTTGGCAGGGTGGAGGCCCAGAAGGCTCAGTGGGGTGGTTCTGGGCTTGGGGGATCCCTATGCAGGGAAGCCTAGTAGTGGTCCAGATGCATAGGCGTTGGGAGGATGGGGGAAGCAGATCCCTCTACAGCCGTGGTCACCAACCGGTCGCTCACGAGCTACTGGTCGATCTCGAGGCCTCGACCAGTTGCTCGCGAGGCGTCCTGTAAGCCCCGCCCCCATTTCCCTCCCACCCCCCCAGAAGCCCCACTACTTACCTCCAGAGAAGACGGAGGTAGTGTCGGCTTGCGGAGTGCTGGGGTTTGGCTCCGGGGCTTCCCGGCGCGGGGAGGGGGTTGGCGCCAGGACAAGCACCTGCGGGGCTTCCTGGC